AATTTTAAAATAGGTTTTAAATTGATTGGGGTTTTAATTTGTCTGGGCCAAAACTATTTAATTTGATTTTAATTCCACTTTTAAATTTTGTATGTATGTTATTTTATTGTTTGGCTGTGCACCGCCCTGAGTCCTTTGGGAGTAGGGCGGTATAGAAATCAAATCAAATCTCGAATCTCTCCAAGGCTCAAGGTTGACTCAGCCTTCCATCCTTTCTAAGGTAGGTAAAATGAGGACCCAGTTTGTGGGGGCAATAAACTGATTTTGTATAAATATACAAAAGTATGAAGGCTATTGCTTAGCACATTGTAAGCCGCCCTGAGTCTCCGGAGAAGGGCGGCATATAAATCAAATAAAAAAAAAAATAGCAATAGCACTTAGACTTATATACCGCTTTACAGAGCCTCCTTGGAACTGCTGAGCGGATTGTGTTGTATAAATATACAAAAGGATGAAGGCTATTGCTGAGCACATTGTAAGCCGCCCTGAGTCTTCGGAGAAGGGTGGCATATAAATCAAATTAAATAATAATAATAATAATAATAATAATAATAATAATAATAATAATAATAACAAAAATAAATAAACAAACAAACAAACAAATAAATAAATAAATAAATAAATAAATTTCTTCTTGTTCTGCCTTCTGGTGCTTTGGAGAATAGCTCGATCCCCCTCTTCCTTGTGGCAAATATTAAATATTGCAAGACCACTATCATATCTATCATGCTATCATGTCAAGAAATGTTCCCCATGCAAACTTACCTTTGTCAAACAGGCAGAGCAAGCATGCGAGAAAAAAGTGGTGGCTTTCCATCTTAGGAGCCATTTCCCCCTAAAAATCTTGTTTCCCGGCTGGATTGATCGGATCCACTCCACGCTCCCTCAGCGTGTCCTCCCACACTCTGCAGAATAGAGGCAGAGGGACTTTTTCTTACCCTGGAAAAGACGAGGGAAGTCGGCCGGTCGAATGACTTCAAAGGAAAATGTCATCATGTGGGGCTGAGCAGAAAAGCCACAGAATGAATAAGCCATCTGTTGCAATATATACTGAGGCAACTCACGATTGTAACTGTAACTCTTTATTTCTTCACCATGTTACTGTAACTGTAACGGCTCAGCTAGAAAACGGCAGTTGACAGCTCTTATATATGAACAGCTCAACCACTTCAGCCAATGGCTAACAAAAGAATCTCCCGTGCACATGACGTCATCAGTTTCATCCAATAACAACACTACAACTATAACTAAACCCATTTGGAAACCTATGGCTAAGGGCGGCACCGATGTCAAAAGGGGATGCATCCGCTGTTATTACCAGAGGAAGGTGAGAACTATATTGTACCAAGACAGCAGAGGATGTTAGTAGGTCTTGGACAGCCCGGAAAGAACGGTTTTCAGCCTCGCCCCAGGACCATGGCGTATTTTTGTCCAATAAACGGTGAAGAGGCTCCGCCAAGGTGGCTTTATGGGGTAAAAATACGCTATAAAAATTGAGGAGCCCCAGAAATGCTTGCAGGTCAGCTTTGCACGTTGGAATGGCAGCATTTTTTATAGCTGCCGCCTTTGAGGGAGTAGGGTGGATACCTGTGGCGTCGATTAAATACCCCAAAAATTCAACCTGTGGCACACCAATAAAACATTTAGATTTCTTCAATTTTAGGCCGGCCTTCCTGAAGCATAGAAGGATGGCCCTAACACGGCCAACGAGCTCATCCCGCGAAGACACGGAGATAAGCACGTCATCAAAATATGGGACTACCCCGGGAAGTCCTTGTAGGAGGCGCTCCATTAAATTTTGAAATAACCCCGGGGCTATGCTAATACCGAATTGAAGCCATTTGCACTTAAAAGCTCCCCGGTGGGTTACAATCGTTTGGGCCTCAGCTGAGGCCTCATCCACCGGAAGCTGCTGATATGCTTGAGCTAGATCAAGCTTAGCAAAAATGGAGCCTGAACCCAGGGAGTGGAGCAAGTGTTGGACTACCGGAACAGGATAGGGGTTAGCTTGTAATGCCCGGTTCAATGTACTTTTAAAATCTGCGCAGATGCGGACCGACCCGTCCGGCTTGATAGGAATGACTATTGGGGTCTCCCACCGGGAATGATCAGTGGGTTCTAAAACTCCCTGGGCAATCAACTTATCTAACTCGGCTTCTACTTTTGGATGGAGGGCCAAAGGTACTCTCCGGGGTTTGAGCCTAATAGGGGCAACGTTCGGGTCTAAGTTCAGTGAAATTGGGGAACCCACATATTTACCCAGAGCATCGTTGAACACATCTTTGAATTCGCTAGCCAACATATCGAAATCGCTCTCTGAGGTTGTTGAGTGGATGCCTGTGATGGCAAGGCCAAGGGATCCAAACCAATCTAAGCCTAACAGACTGGGAAGGGAGCCATCCACCACGATTAAGGGGAAGCGACCAGTGAAACTATCATATTCAACTAGGAAACAACCGTGCCCAATAATTGGAATCCGGTTTCCCTGATAATCTCTAAGCTTAACAGGGCTGGGGTGAAGCTGATTTTTCTGCAGGCTAGGCATCATTTCTTTGATGGTGGTCCAGGAGACAATGGATTTAGATGAGCCGGTGTCGACTTCCATCCTGCAAGGAACACCTTCGATCTTCACAGTCAGGAAAAGCTTGTTTGAACGTGTAGTGGAGTCACGGTGGGTCGTTATTTCAGTGACCCGCCGGCTGCGGAATATTGCAAAACAGTCTTCACTGTTGACTGCAGCACCTTTTGGTCGAAACATAGATTGCCTCTGGCGACCAGAGTGGCAGACACGTGCGAGGTGGCCAAGTTTGCCGCAACGTCGACATGTCACTGAACGGAACCGGCAAGTTGCTCGGGGGTGCTGATCGCCACAGCTGAGGCAGGAGGATGGAGGAGGTTTTTTTCCGGTTGGCCGCCCACCTTTTTCAGTAAACGTCTTAATACGACTGACCTCCAGCTCTTCTTCATCGTCTTCGGAAACAACCTCCTCACTATGGACAGCCGTGGCTTGATTAGCAGAGGAATGGCACTTACGGATGTCCGCGGCGGATTTATCTGACATCTCCGCCGCCTGGGCCTCTTCCATGGCCGTTTGAAGATCTAGGGTTTTTTTCGCTAACAAACGCCTCTGTAAGTTTATGTCGCATACCCCACAAACCAACTGTTCAACCAAAGCGTCATCTAAATCCCGGAACTCGCAGTCGAGGGCGGCTGTACGCAAACGGGTGACATAACGGTTGACAGGCTCCCCTTCCTCTTGCAGTATTTGCCTTAAATTAAACCTACGGGCTATACGAGACGGAGTTGGAGCATAGTGAGCCCTCAATTTCTGCCTCAAAACTTCCCAGGAAGTAGTATGCACAGGCTGGGGAGCGAGTAACGCTCGGGCAGTAGCAAATACTTCAGGGCCACAAGCATTTAAAAAATGAGCCCTTTTCTTACTGCTTGAGAGGTCAGTAAAATCGTTGGCTTCTAAAAAACATTCAAACCGCTCTTCGTACGCATCCCACGTCTCAGCGGCGGCGTTGTATGGGGCGAAAGTTGGAGGAGCCATTTCGTGGATCGGTGGTTTGTGTATTGGGTGACTCACACTCTCTGAATGTTGATTCTGCTCTCAATTCGCCTCAGGAACATCCCATCCTCGTCGCCAGTGTTAAAGTGTTGCAATATATACTGAGGCAACTCACAATTGTAACTGTAACTCTTTATTGCTTCACCATGAAAGGTCTTCTGAGTGCACTTCAAGGTTTTGGTTACCACCTTTAAAGCACTCCATGGCTTAGGACCTGGTTATCTACGGGGCTACCTGCTACCACCAATAGCCTCCCACTGGCCAGTACGCTCCCATAGAGAGGGGTTCCTCCGGGTGCCGTCGGCCAAACAATGTCGACTGGTGGCCCCCAGGGGGAGAGCCTTCTCTGTGGGGCACCTACTATCTGGAACGAGCTCCCCCCGGAGATACGGAGGATCCCGGATCTGCGCACCTTCTGTCACGCGCTTAAGACTTTTTTATTTCATCAAGCTGGCCTGGCCTAAATCATCTCCTCTTTTAAATTTAAATTTTAAACATAAATTTTAATCTGTTTAATTATGGGGTATTTTAAAATTCAGCCTAAATTATTTAATTCGTTTTAATTTATTTTAAATTTTGTATTTCTGTGTTTTATCCTTCGGGATAAGATGAGTCCTTCGGGAGAGGGGCGGTATAGAAATTTAATAAAATAAATAAATAAATAAACAAATAAATAAATAAATAAATAAATAAATAAATAAATGTAACTGTAACTGTAATGGCTCAACTAGAAATGGCAGTTGACAGCTCTTATATATGAACAGCTCAACCGCTCCAGCCAATGGCTAACAAAAGAATCTCCCGTGCGCATGACGTCATCGGTTTCATCCAATAACAACACTACAACTATAACTAAACCTTGCTAGACATAACACCACCCACTTCTTATTTTTAAGCCTGGCCGAGAGTGAATTTGTTAGATGACACGCACTCGGTGTTTAAATTCCCCCAGCCAAGTCCTGTATCAACCCTGAAGCTGGCCCGACCGAAGCCATTTTGTCACACTGGAGCTGAGGGATAGGGACGTACAGTGGTGGGTTTCAAATTTTTTTTACTACCGGTTCTGTGGGCGTGGCTTGGTGGGTGTGGCATGGCTTGGTGGGCGTGGCAGGGGAAGGATACTGTAAAATCCCCATTCCCTCCCCACTCCAGGGGAAGAATACTGCAAAATCCCCATTTCCTCCCGATCAGGTGGGACTTGGGAGGCAAAGAATAGATGGGGGCGGGGCCAGTCAGAATTTTTACTACCAGTTCTCCGAACTACTCAAAAACTGCTACCGGTTCTCCAGAACTGGTCAGAACCTGCTGAAACCCACCTCTGGGGAGGGGAGGAATAGAGATAGCTGTTCTGCCCCAGCTTCGGATTCCCAGAGAATGTGACACACACCAAGCTTCGCAAACACTGTTTAATTCCAAACAAACCCCTTTCAAGAATGCAGGCTTCCCGTGCAAAGGGTCCTTATCAAAAATATTAAGAACAAAGTCCGACAAAGGTTGGCAACCAGCCCAGAAAACCAGATATGAGAAGTCGCTCGTTCTCCAAGATGCTCTGTAGTAATGCGACGTTGTTTCTAGCAAGAAAGCACTAGCTGTGTGCGACTTAAATAGGCTAAAGGAGTGGCCAATTATCCTCAAGCCCTACTCTGAAGTAGACCTCCTCCTCCTGAGTAGCCACTCCTGCCTTTTGGCAGCCCTGCATGCCCGAGCATTGAGGAGAGGCTCCTCCACTTTGCGCCGGCTGCTGGCGTGACACCACACCAGCCTCCTCGTCGTCGGGATCAGCCACGATCCACGCAGGCCGCTGGCAGGCCACAACAGGATTTGTAGCCAAAACAAAATACTATCTCTTGAGAAACAAGGACATTCTCACACCTGGTTAGAGAAAGGAGGAGTGATGTTACCCGGCAACCAAATGGCACCTCAGTTGGGCCATGTGACTGATTGGGAAAGGGAAATTTATTTACTTTTAATTAGGTGAAAATCGTGGGAACCCTCAGAGTCGGTTTTCACCAGATCTGTGCCAATATAATATATCCAATAAAGCTATTCTTTGAGGAATCCACCCGCCTTGGAGTTTCGCTTGCTATGGGTCTATTACTTGGAATATCCTGCTTTGTTACCCCATTGTTGTGTTCCTGAGGGAAAAAAATGCACAGGTAGTTGTTGTGACGGCGCATTACCATAGCGATGGAAATGCCTGCACCTGATTGGTTGGGACGGGGTTATGCTAAGTGCGGGAGTTACTCGTTTCCTGATTGGTTAATACTGTTCTGTTTGCCAAGTATAAAAAGGCCAACTGTCAGATAGACTGACAGTTCAGTGTTCTACTGTTTTTGCTGTTGCCTGAAATAAACCGATGTTACGTTGACATCCTCGCCTCAGTTAATGACTATAATCCAAACACAACAGTAGTCCTTGCCTTATGACCACACTTGAACCCAACATTTCGATCGCTAAGCAAGACAATTGTTAAGTGAGCTTTGTCCAGTGGTGGGATTCAGCCGGTTCAGACCGATTCGGTAGTAGCAACCTGTGGGTGGGC